GCGGCGATCCCGTCCGTGATGATGATGACGGGGCACAATGACGACGATCACGATGATGGCGATGATGACGTGGCACGGCGGCGACGATCTCGACGATGATGTTGATGATGGCCAGGTGACGACGTCGAAGCAGGGTGGGTCGGGCGGGTTCGAACCGCTCCGATACCAGTGTAACGAGCGTGGGGAGAGAGAGGGAGAGAGTGAGAGCACACACACACACTCACTCACTCGACACGACGGACTCGGACTGAGGATCGAATGCAGACACAGTGGCAAGGCACAAAGTCGAAGTCTTGGATTCCTGAATGCCGAAAACAGCAAGTCACGCTGAGTACGAGTACAGCAGCAGTGGTACGAGACTGGTTCCCGTACCGTACGGGGAGCCGGTATAAGTACCGGTGACACGTACGGTACCAGGGGCATTTCTGCAAAGGCCCCGAGGGCAGAACTGAAAAATGCAATATTTGAAAGTGGTGCCCGAATTGCAGCATGGCGCCAGTTGTCCAAAATCCTACGGTACCAAAGGAGGGGTTTGGAAAAAGGGTGCCAGGCCGAAAACGGGATGCAGCCGAAACAGCAAAAGATAGACCAGGGATCGAGCCCTGGCGAAGTCCGTAACACTGACGGCATCGCTGACGTACAGCAGCCGCAGGTGTAGGAGATGAAGAGCCCTGTCGTGCAGCTATACGTGCGCTACGACGGCGCATAGCCTGGCCTCAGGCTTGGTGCTGACGTGGCACTTCTGCTCACGTGGCACTAGGCTGATGTGGCACTCTGCTGATGTGGCACTTACCCGGCCGTCGCGACACGACAAAGAAGAAGGGGGGTGTGGGGGGGGGCAGAGGGGAAAGGACAGGCATGCCAACTATTCACCCAAACTGCAATCGTCCTCCCCCAAACAGGTAAGGCACCAATTAAAGGAAAAGAAATTCGCCAAAATCATGGAATTTTTTTTTATTTTTTTTTTCTGTTGAAATGTCGCAGTGTCTATCCTGCAGTGTCAGTGGGCAGGGAGGAGCCCTGCTGACATTCAGGCAGTAATGAGAAGGAGAAAAAGAAAAGAGAAAAAAATCTGATGAAAAATCGATCAGAAGTTCAGAACCAAGAACCGGCCTGTCAGAGACAATACAAAAATAGCACAACGGAAGACTGAAATACCAAGATCTGACTCAGCATGGACAATGAAAGGTCCTGACAGCACTCATCATCACTCAGTGTAAGTGGACTCAGCGCATCAATCGTGGAAGGGGCGCTGAGTCCAGATACATCCACGGGCGAAGAGGGGAGAAGAGACGAGGGGGAGAGGGAGATAGGGAGGATCAGCCGCCTAGCCAATGAACCCAGTCTCCAATGTATCCCCAATGTCGCTGCTCGCACAATGTCACCGAACTGGGCAGAGCCCAAAATGTCACCAAGTCTCAACGTCAAAACTCTCTCTCTCTCTCTCTCTCTCTCTCTCTCTCTCTCTCTCTCTCTCTCTCTCTCTCTCTCTCTCT